ACGTTAAGTTGGCCAGGCAACGACTCCAAGGTTCCCTTTTACTTCAGGGTCGTTGCTAAAGTGGGCAAAGATTGGGTTGGGACAGCAGCTATTGGTTGGGACCACAGCTAACTGGTTATTAACCTGTGTCTGTGGAGGTTTTCAGCTCAGCTGACCAGAGGTAATCCAGGATAAACTCTACACAAGATCCTGAGGAGGCAAAGTTTTTGCTTGTTGGGCTAAATAGCTTAGGAAGGTGTTCCCAGTTACTTGGAGCTGTCATGTAGTAGATAAGTGAAATGGCTTCTTTGTTGTGAGGGGGCTTCAGAATGGGGGAAATCTGAAAGGTTTGTGAATATCTGGTAGCCAGAGAAGTGGGAGATAAGGAGCTCATCACAGTTAGGTTACACTCTTCACTTTGGGAGGGAGCATATCCTTGCAAACAAGCTGGAGGCTGCTAAAATCGCTTTTTTGCTTTTCATGTTAGTGTTTGATATGGAAGCCCCCAACAGATTAAATTTTCTTCTTTGGTTTTTTTTTCCCCCTGACATTTCTAGGGGTGCCTGTACCTTTTTTCAGCTTCACTACTTTGTGTGTCTCGTGGGGTATGACAAGTTCCAGGTGCTTTTTTTGGTTAAAACTTTGCCCAGAAAGCTGTCACTGAACCCATCAGGTTTTTTTCTGCTGTTGATCCTGTGAGCAGTGGCCTTGGAGCAGGCTGCATACAGCTTGGGTGGGAGGACAGTGTTATCTTGGCTACCACTATGAACTCAGCTTTGTACAGGAAGTTTTTTGTGTGGCTGTGCTAAACAAAAGCTGAGTGTTCATATAATTATGTTTCCTCTTCTTACCCGTTCACCAAGAAAAGCAACTTCCCTTGTTTAGAGGCAAGTAAGCAAATTGATTTTTTTTTTTTGAGGCTTGGCATGTGGGTTATATTACATTCTGGAAACTAGCTGATATTTTGCTCTGACAAGTTTGGACTATGGTGTGATTCCCAGGGCACTAGGAAGATTAAAAGATCTTGCCTTCTGCTCTGTTTTGTAACCTGTTTTGATTTGCCTTTTTTTTTCCCCATGCTGAAACAACAGTGAGAAATAAGGACATTTAATTAAGAAGTTTGCCAACATGAATTACGTGTTCTACCATGGGAGATAGAGCTGAAAAACACAGACTGCTTGAATGAATGAGTCAACACAACTAAAACATTGCCTTTCTTCTCTGGTTTCAGACATCCATTCCCAAATCTCTTGCTAGGTGTGAGTGAGCTTGTCCTGGGCAAACTCTGCAGCGTTGAGAAGTTCCTTGCTATCAAGTCTGGTGGTACTGCTCTGGGCCTGAAGAGCTGAGGAATAGAGAGTTAATTATTGTACCTGCACCTCTACTGTTGCTGAGTTAGGGGCCTGCTTTTCCAAAACATGCTACAGGGGTGGGAAAGACTCTTATTTAAAAAGGGTCTGGAAATAACACACACACTACTGCTATTTATTGGCGTGATCTGCTTACAGTTTCTGAGAGATTAAAAAGATGAGCCTCATGATAGAAGTAGTTCCAAGAAAACTGCATGACTGAGCTGTGTTTGTGCCAGAACATGGCAGTGTCTCAGCCCTGAGGTTTCTCTTGAAGTGACTTGCAGAGCTATAAAATGAATGTAGCAGGCTGTGCCCTGGAGTGGGTGAGGAACATGCTCAAGGAACAGCATCTACTGGCTCAGCTCTAATAGTAATGCTCAGCAAAGCATGGAGGAAGCAGCTTAGCTGTTTGCAGGGAATGCATGACACTTAAAGGGTTATTGCAGTAACTATGCTGAGCCTCAAAATACAAAGTCTGAGTTTAATCACTCCTGGGCAATGCCCTACAATCCATGTGCCTGGAAACATACATTTTGTGCTTGGGCATTTTTAAATGCTAGGTCCCAGAATTGTAGAATAACATGGAAAGAGGCCTGTGGATATCATCTAGTCCAACCTCCTGCTCAGAGCAAAACCAGTTTCAAAGTTAGATCCAATGGCTCAACTCAAAATTCAGCTGGCTTTTAAAAATCTCCAGGTTTAGAGCCATGACAGCCCCACTGGATGGCCTGTCCCACTGCTAACCACTCTCATTATTGTCACTGCCACCATAATGAGGAGCATCCTCATGGGTGGCCACTCAGATCTGTCTTTTGGTTAGGATATCCTCAGCTGAATGTCACTCACAGAGTAGATGAACTCATGCCCCAAAAAAAAGCAAGTTACTACAAGAAAATAATTGTGATTTGGAAGCATGTGATTTGTAGCTTGGTTAAAATTCAACCCTGTGCTAGGCTTTGTGCTTGAAGCATGTTTGAAGGAGGGAGTTCCTGTTCCAAAGAGTTTCCCATCTAACCAGACCCAGGCTCTTTTTATGCTTGGCAATTAGTTCCATCACATGCTGGGATTTGCAGAGGAGGTGGGAATTCCCCTTAGCTCACCCCCATTTCCAACAGGGTGCTTTTAATCACATGGTCAATCCTTCTGCCCAGGAGGGAGGGGGACAAAGATTTCCACCTTTCTTATTTCCTGCTCTTGGCAGGAGTTCAAGGCTTGGGAATTTTCTCAAATGAAGAAGTGTACCTAAGAAATGAATAAAGCTTTAAGTCCTGGAACAGATGGAATAAAAATTTAAATTCTTCTGCTGTCTCATCAGGGGACTGCCTGCAAATTATCTAATCTCACATCACGACTCTAGCTTTAAAGCATATTTTTTTTGTGAATGCTACATTTTCTATGTTAAAGCCTTTCAAGACCACCAGCTCATTCCATAGTGCCCTGAAGAACTGTCAGGTAAATTGGACTAATAACCATGAAGGGGGTGCCTTGGGTTTATTTCAGCAGTCCCTCATGCTATCAGCCCTAGTTTACCTGACTTTATGCTGATGACTAAGAATGCTTCATAAATTAATAACTGCAATATTGATCTAGACAGCTTTAAAAAAAAAAAGGCCACCCTGCCTAATTATGTTAACTGGTGAGCCTTGAGGGGTCTTGTGGATATGTAATGTGCAATTAAGTGCTACCTAATTAAGAATTTCCCTGATGCTGTGATAGTCTCTTGAGGAAATGCTGTTTGCACATCTCCATTCTTATCCAGGAACATCTTGTGTTTTACTGATTAGCAGTTTCTGCCTGGTCTCTGTGGTACAATTTAGGAGAAGGGAAAGTGGTGGGGGTGTTGATGGTGAAGCATTTTGTAGGCTTTCATAAACAATTTTAGAAAATCATTAATAAAAATCTCTTTAAGCAGTGTTTGAAGTTACGACCAAGTGGAGGCTACGTGGAGTGAATGCTCAGGAGATGTGTTGGGGTCCTGCAGTGAAGCAAAAGCTCTGCAGCTCTGTCTTCTCATCCCACATCTATGTGGTGGCATTTGGCAGAGCAGCCTGAGCCACAGCAGATGGGCTGTGGAATCATGGAATGCTTTGGGTTGGGTTAGAGTCACTCCTGTTGCCCTTTTGGCTGCACTTCACTCATGTCACAGCTTCACTGGTTATCAACTTTCTTCTCAAGCAACTGGTTTTGCATTCAGTTAGGATGGATTGATGTTTTAAGTCAATGAATGCAGCACTGTGCAGTAGATTTGAATTCTTTTCTTTTTTAGTGTCTTAATGCTTTTACTTGCACACAGCTTTTTTGTGTCAACCAAGTTCAACTTTCTTCTCAGGCAACTGGTTTTGGATTCAGTTAGGATGGATTGATGCTTTAAGTCAATGAATGCAGCACTGTGTCAGTAGATTTGAATTGTTTTCTTTTTTAGTGTCTTAATGCTTTTACTTGCACACAGCTTTTTTGTGTCAACCAAGTAATTTAGCCTTTTGCTACTCATTTCCCAGATTTCTTCTTTTTTTTTGTTTGTGAACTATAGGGGATGCTCCAGAGGGGTTTTGGTAGTGGCTGGGTGGTTTTTTTCCTAACTGAGGCATTAGAAATGCCAATTGGAGCCTTTCTCACAGCTAGAAAAAGAAGGAAGAATGCTGTTTCCCATGGATCCTTTGATATGTCCAGGCTTCAGCCTCTCTTTTATGAGGCTGCTAACAGAGCCTGTCTTCCATATTCCTGTCTTCACAAATGTTTCAGCAGAGAATATGAGTGACCTCCCTTTGTTGAGCTTGGCCAGCAGGCTCAAAAGCAGGTGAGCCCATGGTTGTAGGTCCAGGAAAAGACTGGGGTGGTGTATTCCTGTTCCCATTTGCTGTCTGAACAAACTTGTAGAGTGTGTCTCCTTGGTTACAGAAATGTCAAGTGCTCCTGAAGAGAATCCTTGTGTCACTTGTTACATTAAGATGCTGCTGCTTTTGATTTGTCCCCTTGAGCATGAGGATCAGGATCATTAAGGGCAGTTGCAAAGCACAGACTCTGTGACAGCATTATCTTATTGCTGCTTCAGGCACTGCCAGCATTTATTTGGGCCCTGGTGGTTTCACTGGGAGTGGAAAGAGCAGGATCAGGTTCTCAGATTCCTAGAAGATGCTTTCAGGTCTGTTCATGTTGCTGTGAGGTTGAACCACTGCTCTGAGCAGACTGGGAGGAGGTCAAGGAGGGTTTACTGAGGACTAGAGTGAAAGGGCTGGGAGCTGCAGGCATGAGTGTCCATGGACTTCTTGGTGATGGGGTGTCAGACTGGTCATGTATAAACCATGCTAGCACAGTGTGAATCAGATTGCCTGGCTCTCAGTACAAACTTCTGGAGTTCCAAAATCAATAACCCATTTTAAAAAGACTAAGTGGGTCCTGAATCAACTGTTGACAGAGATGACAACAATAATGAATGACTACAGAGAGGCACCACAGGAAATACTCAGCAACAGAAGCAGAGAAAAATGGGTTTATGTCTTCACTGTCCCACTTGCTACACCAGCTTTCTCCACTGGCTCATGGGTTCAGGGCACTGTTCTACCCAACCCTTGGAAACAAGGTGATGTAATTTCATAATTTCATGTCAGTCCTCACAGAGTTCTCCCAATTTGCTGACCTGTTTTCCTTCTTTTCTTTCCATAGGCCATCATTCTGGTACACTGGCTGCTCACAGTGTGGTGAGTGATTGGTAACTGGCCTGGGTGAGAAGAGGGTTTTGCTTCAGACTAGGAATGGGACCTTCCCAGGGAGTCAGCACTCCCTGTTCATGTGCAAGAAGATCCCATATCCAAGAGTGAGGGGTTTGGATGGAGGGGCTGGAGGCAAACAAACTGTTACAGGCTTATTGCAAACATGAGCTGAGTCTTTTTGTCTTGTCTGGCAGGGGGTGCATGAATTACAGCTTTCCAGCCTCCTATGCCTGGGGGAACTTCAGTGTCCTGGCCGTGGGGATCTGGGCCATTGTGCAGAGGGATTCCCTGGATGCCATCATGATGGTGAGGGTGAGGGCAGTGCCTCCAGCAGGCTGCTCAGGGAGGGAGAGGGTGGAGGGCAGAGGCAGCTGCTCAGTCACTGAGGTTTTCAGCTGTCCCCAGGACAGCAGGGAACAAGTCACATTCCCTGCTTGGGTTGGTTTGGGTTTGGTTGTTTTAAGACAGCATATAAATCTATAAGCCATGATGAGAAGCATTCACTGTTACTTATTTTGTCTCTTTGATGTGAGGTATATTTGATTCTTACCTTTTTTTTTTAACCTGCTGTAACACCAGAGGAGGACTCAGGGTTTAATGTGCTTGAGTTGGAGGGACTTTCTAAAACCCTTCTCAGAACATTAGCTTGGCAAGCAAAAATAAACAATCCTGCAGCACCTCATGAGAAGGTGTCTGATAGATGTGAAAGAAAATGCATGAAATAAGAGATGATTCATTTAGGAATCTGCCTGGGGCAGTGCCAGGGGTTAGCAACATGATGGTGTGGCCACAGACCTGGCAGCAAACCGACCCTGTGACTGACTGTTACTCCCTGTGGCTCCTTCCCCATTCAGTTCATGCCCCATTTTCTTTCTGTTTCCAGTTCCTGACTGGCCTGCTGCTCACAGTCCTCACAGACATCATCCACATCTCCATCTTCTACCGTTCACACGACCACTTCAGTGACCTGAAGCGTTTCAGCCTAGGCATGGCCATCTTCAGCCTCCTCCTCAAACCCCTCTCCTGCTATCTGGTGTACCGCATGTACCGGGAGCGTGGTGGAGAGTATGCCTTGAACATAGGTAGGACACCTCCCCTGCCTCCACCTCAGTGTGGGCCACCTCCTGTGGTGGGAAGGAGACCTCCTTGCACTTCAGCCCCTGCAGCCTGAGCTCTGTGCAGCTGGGTTCTGCCCTGCTTTCCAGGGAGGGGGGTGCTCGCTCGCTCTTCCTCCTGTCTCTTCTTCCATGTTGTGGGTCTGGTGTGTCTCAGGCCTCAGACTGACCTTCTTCCTCTCTTCCCTTGCAGACCTGGAGTCCTCATCTGACAGCCATTTTGCACACAATGGTATTGGTACCACTGCTGTCTCTCTTACTTGGCATGACCAAGAGGCTTTTCCTCTCTTCCTCCTTCTGCATTTGTGTCTGTGCTTGTTGGAAGCCTTTGGGTGTCCTCTCTTTGCCAACCCTTTCCTTTCCTTCTGTGTGAAAGAGGCAGCATCCCTTCTAGCTGGATTATGTGTAAGAGGGAGAGAAGTGGGATATCAGACTCCCTGTTTTGTCTGGGCCTCCCATGTCCTGGCTACCTTGATTGCTTTGGACTTCCATTTCCTCATGTGGAGAATGGGACTGAAGTTTACCTCGTGGGACTTTGCCTGGAGACACTCATTTTTCTCATGGTTGTACTGGCTCATGATAACGTGACAGCCTTGGCAGGGAGAAGAGGCTGTGGCTGGATGTTCTGGGTCTCAGTCAGCCCCTTTGCCAGGCCTGCCTGGTGCTAGCTCATGCCAGGGCAGCTCTGAGGGGTTGTTTGCTGTGTGGCAGTTCACCCTGGCAAAAGCAGCAGCCTGGCAGAGTTATGTGTTGCCCTCCTAAGGAGGCTGTGCAGGACAGAGGATGGTTTAGCTGCATTACAGTGTTTGAAAGTCACTTGTGCTGCTTGGCTGCTAGCAAAGAAGATGAGGCTTCCTGTGAGGAGAGCTGGATGCCTGCAGAGGAGGAGAGGCCGTGGAAGGAAACCATGGCTTAGGGTGCTGTTTGCATGTCTGCTAGTGGAATGTGGGTGTCTTCTCCATCAGCTGCTTATGCAGAGGCCAGGCTGGTCTGTCTTAACTGGGTCAGAAGGTCTGTGAGGCAGCTGCAGTGCCTTGCAGTGGGCCAGGTTTGGGCCAGCTTTTGTTAGCTGCTTGCTGTGCTTGTAACTGGGATGTGGCATTTGCATCCCATGGTAAGTGTAGGTGTGGTTAAGGAGTTCATCCCTTTGCCTGGAATTTGAGAGCACTCCTCTTCAACCACACTATCCCAACACAGGCATGCTACCAGCTGAGAGTCTCCTCTCAGGCACAGGTTGGAACTCAGACACTTTGTAGTGTCTTGTAATCTCGTAGCAAACCTCACAAGGTTTTCAGTACAAACTGTGCTGTTTTGTCAAGTGTGGTTGACAAAACTCCTCTTGCTTTTTCCTGCTGCTGGGCACGTTCCTTTTGAACCTCCCAGTGTTGGATTTCTCCTGGTCTCCTCTATCTCATTTTCTTTCCAAGCAAAATCCCTTTCTGTTGCTTG